GGTGGAGCCAAAATGGGAGCTCGGTGATAGCTAGATGATAGGAGCTGCTCGGGTGGCAGCTGAAGTGGTCAGGGACCAGGCTCACGTGGCTGGGGCCCTGTACAGGAAGTCTTCCTCACACGGGCTCTGCAGAGCCTGGGCGCAGCTTCCCAAGAGGTAGCCTGGGTACTAGGTCTTGATCCCCTTTAAAAGTCACCCTGCTGCCTGCTGCTTACGGAATGGAAGCAGTTCACCTGGTCTGCAGTTACTCTGTGAAGGGTTATTTATTTCATGGACAGCAGTTTTGATGGGTGATCGGGGTTACTGGTCTCAGCCTGCAGGTGATCAATCCAGTGCTGGTCCTCGATGGCCTTTGGAGCAGAGTTCTTCATGGTGTCTGGGAAGCGCGGTGCACTAGTGTTGAGCTGAGGCCTGGGAGGTGCTCCTGATGACAAGCACCGACTGCCGACTTGCAGGCCGAGCAGCATTCTGGTGCCTGAGCAGCAGCCGCTCACCTCACGCTCAGGGGAGGCCGATGAGCAGGCTCTCCTGCCGAGGAGGCCGCAGGCTGGACCAGCCAGGGCGGAGCACTGTGGCCACACAGGGTGTAGCCTGGACCTCCTGGTTCCTGCCCTGGATTCGAAGTGCTCTCCTTAGCTCTTCCTGGGAGCTTTTGGGTCCTTGCCGCGGGCTGTTGCATGCAAAGGTGGTCCTGACGGGGTGTGCACCCCCCTGCAGGAACCTCTGGGAACTCCCTGCAGCGACTTCTCCTTCTTTCAGGCAAAAGTGACGAGGAGGAGAGCCTTTGCAAGTCCGCCCCGGGGGCGGGGAAGGGAGCCTCTGAGGACGGCAAGGACCACAAGCGCCCCAAACGCCCCAGAACCATCCTGACCACCCAGCAAAGGAGAGCATTCAAGGCCTCGTTCGAAGTGTCCTCCAAGCCCTGCAGGAAGGTACAGGAGGGCAGAAGGGAGGGCAGGGGACAGGCTCCTCTGGAGGTTGGCACATGGGGTCCCGGTGGTGGGGAAGAGGGGTCAGTCTGTGCAAGAGGGCTTGAGGTCTCTGGGGTGGCCTCCGTGTGTGGTGCCAATTCACACACAGAAGCGTTCGTTTTGGTGTAGACTAAGACGCTGTGACAAAAAATGTGGGAGGCAGTGGCCTGGTTGTTCCTTGCTGTGTGCCGGGGACCCCTTCGAGCTATAGGCTTTCCTTTGGTGGAGTGGCCTGGCTCTGTGCAGATGGACCCTGGCTTTGAAAGCCCCCTCGGTGCCTGTAGGGGCCGTGACCAGGGGGCTGCAGTGAACCTGGTATAAAGAAACTCGGGCCTTAATGAGAGAGGGGTGTGTTCTCCCTACACCACAGTCCAAAGGAGAGCAGGCCGAGGCTGACGGCAGCTGTGCTGTCCATCACACGGGGCCCAAGGGCTGTCCAGCTGTCACCCTGTTTCCCACCACCAGGGAGGGGAGGGGGCCGTGCAGCCAGGCGCCGGTTCCCAGGTTTGCTCGGCCACTCCCTATGTGAGGGGGCGGAGCTCAGTCCTGCAGGAGAGGCTGGGGCTGAGCCCACCTGTGACCCCGTGTCCTGTGGTGCTCAGGACTTCACTGTGGGATGGAGGAGGTGGGTGCTGGGACAGTTACCTGGCTCTGCCACAATGACTGTGGCCGTCACTGAGCGTTCATGGTTGACCAGCTGCCTGCCATGTACTGGGCACTGTCTTTTACACAGTGAAAGGAGAGTGATCGTTCTTTCTGAAATTTGTAAAGGAAATACCGTGTCTAAGAGGTCACCATTTCTTTTTCTCCTTCCTATTGGAATTCCTCAGCCTCTGCTGTAGCGAGGAGGTAGCCCGAAGTCTGAGTCACCCCAGCAGACAGTCATTTCCTGTTCTGGGCTGGGGGGCTGTGGCCCCACAGGGTCCAGGTGTGGGCTGCTCCGCCTGCTCCTGTGTGGTCTAGGCTGAAGGAGCAGTGCCCTCCTGGGACGTGTTCTCATGAAGGTGGCCGAAGGCAAGAGGCCAGGGCAGAGAAGGAGCCAGGGAAGTCCTCTTGCTGGATGTCACCCTGATTCACAGGCCAGTCGAGGCTGGGGCTTAGCCCGCGGTCCACGGCGGACGCAGCCCCACAGGGCAGGGGTTGAGGGTCACAACTGGTGGAACAGCAGTGCCCTCTGTCACCAGGTGCCCTTCCTTCCCTGCCCTCACAGAGGTGCACTCCGCGGGGGCACTGGTAGGAAGCGGCTTCCCCGAGGCGGCTTGCTCAGGACAGGTTGTCCCTCCCCTGAGGGCTTCCCAGCCTCCGTGAGGTCATGTGCTGGAGGCTTGTTCCTGGGCACCTTTCAGACCAACAGCGAGGAGTGGCGTCCACCAGGACTGTAGCTCCAGGGTGTGAGCAGGAGGACAAAGGAGCCCTGGGCCACGGGAGGGGCGTCCACTCTGGAATCAGGCGAGGCCCTGGGAACAGGTGGCTTCCGAGCTGGGCCTCTGAGCAATGGATAGAGTTTCAGCAGGTGCAGAGGCCCCGCTTAGCAGGAGGGTGGATGGACCTTGAGAGTCCAGCCTGATCCTCCCCATGTAAGCTCAGCCCAGTGGCATGATTAGGGGGAGCACTTCCCAGGCCCGGGGCTCGCTCTCTGCGTGTTTGTTCAGGGCGCTTTCCAATCCCATCTTCTCTGGAGACTCCCAGGGGGGGCCATGTCTCTCTGGCCTCTCTGCAAATCTGCTTTATGGGCCGCTCCTCTCCCGCCCTCTTGCCAGCCTCACTGTGAGCCTGGATGGCCGACAGATGTTTAAACACATCTCTTTATTATCTGGACCCCCTCATCCTCATCCCTACCTGGCCCCAGTGCATGTGTCCACTGGCCCTGCTGGGTTCCAGGTGGCCCTATTTTCTGTCTCTTTCTGGGAAGGGCTCCGTCAGGGTAACAGTGCAGAACCCCCAAAGTCTCTGAGTTAGTGGGACAAAGGTCCATGGATTTAGGTGGGAGGAGGGAGGGTGGACAGCCCTGGGAAAGCGGTCTTCACCCCGTTCCTCCCCCGGTGGCCTGCAGCTGTAGCATCTGGCACTTTCTAGGGCTGACTCCAGAGCGGGGGACGCCTGCAGCTCTCCTGGGAGCATGGGTCTGAGTTCCCGAGTGGCTGGGGTTGGCCAGCGTTCATCACTGCGACCAGGTCCCCGACCTGACAGTTAAAGGAGGGGCGGCTTATTTAGCCTCATCCAGGGTCCCCCGGCTCCACTGCTGTGAGGCAGTGTGTCCTGGTGGGAGTGTGGCCAGGAGGCCACCGACCTCCTGGCAGCTGGGGTGCAGAGAGGGCTGGAGCAAGAGGCCGGTGGCAAGATAGAGTCCCCAAGGGCAGACCCACTTCCTCCGCCAGGTCCCTCCAGCAGTCCATTCAGTCACCAGGACTGATCCTCCGACGAGGCTGGAGCCCTTGCGATCCTGCCAGTCCTCAGAGCCCCACCTCTGGACGTGCAGCACGGGGACAGGCCTTCAGCACGCGGCCTTTGGGGTCTGTTTGCCTGGACTCCTTTCCACCTGGAGGGAAGCCTGTCTGGCCTCTGACTTTGGCTGAGCATGAATCAGGCCTGGGCTCTGCACAGGCGCGGCCTGTTGGCCTCCCCAGGGCTGCACAGGAAGCGCTCTGCCTCCTACCGCACTGCGCTGCCGCAGGTTCTACAGGAATAACGGTTGCTTGTTCCAGGTGAGGGAGACTCTGGCCGCAGAGACGGGGCTGAGCGTCCGCGTGGTGCAGGTGTGGTTCCAGAACCAGAGGGCTAAGGTAAGGCTCCTCGTCTCCTCCGTGTCGCCCTTCCTGCCACGGGAGCAGAGGGCTGTGCCCTGGCCACCTACCCGAGCTCCCTAGAGAGCAACTCTCTCCAGCAGCAATCCTGCTGCCGCGGGGCTTCAGCCAGGCGCCCGGGGAAGGCCCACTGAGGCATCTGTTTGGGGGAAAGTCTGTTTTCCTGGTGGCCCTGCCTCTGAATCCAGCCAGCCATCGGTATCAATCAGGTCTTTGGAAAACCATATTCTTTAATTCACATTTGTTTCAATGTATACCTGTGCACTACAGATACCAGGGGTTTTTGTTTGTTTTGTTTCATTTCATTTTTGAGATTTCAAAGAGAAATCCAAAAGCACTCTGACGACTGGCCCAAGACCGCCTGTTGGCGTGGTGGGCCCTCCCCTCCAGCTCAGCCCACCCTGCCACCCTGCCCTCCTGGCTGGCCAGGGCCTGCCGCCCTGTCGTGGGCCCTCTTGGAACTTCTGCCCCTGCCTTTTCCTACCCCTGAAAGTGCCTGTGTCCCTCCTCCCTGGTCTGCTGAGGGGCTGCATTGCTGCGTTTGCTCCGGGTGGACGAGGGGACCATTCCTGCAGCCGAATTCCCCAGAGTGGGGCTGGGGGTGGGTGAGTCATCCGAATGGGCTCCATGGAGCAGGCACTGAAGAGGCTCCCTTCCCCACGGAGGCATAAAGCAGAGAAGCACTCAGACCTCCGGGGAACCTTGCAATACAGACATTTGTTTTAAAATGCAGTGTTTCTCTCTCTCTCTCTCTCTCTCTCTCGCTCTCTCTCTCTCTCCTCTCTCTCTCTGTCTCCCCCCCTCTCTCTTCCCCTCCCTCTCTCTCTCTCTCACACACACACACACACACACCCCATGTGTTAACATATTATAGGGCACCAATGTTCCACTGTTCCACAGAACACAGTTTGGGAAACGTGGGGCTCAAGTGTCTTAGCTGAGGCTCTGGGTGGGTCTCAAACTCAAGGTGGCCAGTGGGGAGGAATAGTCTCCTGGCTCATCCAAGCCACCTTGTGGGCCCTTGCTGAGAGGGAGTCCCTGTTCCTGTGGGGTGAACGTCCTCCCCAGCAGCTGTGAAGGGGTCTTGGGGTGCTCTTCCTCAGCCTGGCTTCATATGGGGAAGGTGCTTCCTCCACGTGCCTGTCAGCGGAGAGTGCAGGCCCTTCCCTTGCCCCTGGTGAGTGGCCTGTCATGGCCGACACTGAAGGGTCGTCTCTCCCACCAGATGAAGAAGCTGGCCCGACGGCAGCAGCAGCAGCAACAGGACCAGCAGAACACGCAGCGGCTGAGTTCTGGTAAGCCCTGGACAGGCCGGCACCTGCCCAGCTCCATGAGTGACGGGCACTTGGTGGAGTCCAGCCCCCCCACTTGAGAGAGAAGCCCACCAATGGCGGTGAGCCAGGGGGAGCCCGTGAGAGCATGTGGGCCCCAAGCAGCACTTCCAGAGCTCTGGCTTGTGCAGAGCCCTGGTCTGGACCGGGCAAGGTTGGGGCACACATCAGAACGTCCGTGGAGTCAGGGGCGGGTCCTGTTTCTCATGTCCAGTCCCCCTCCTCCTAGGATGGCCAGTTTGGTAGAAGACTCCCCGTCATCCCTGTGACAGTTACCTGAGACCATCGACTTAGCGGAGGAGAGATGGTCTGGCTCGGGGTTCCCGTCCATGTTGGGCCTGTTGCCTTGGGGTCCGTGAGAGGCAGCGCACCGTGGGGAGTGTGTGGCATAGGAACTGCCTGCCCCGTGGGGACCAGAAAGCAGCGTCAGGCAGGGGGGTCTGGAAGGACAGAGAGGGAGCTTCCAGGCATGTGCCAGTGACCCAGCTTCCTCCCACTGGTCCCCGAAGCCGCCCCGTCCCCCACAGTGCCACAGGCTGAGAACCAAGCCTCTAGCCTCGGCCTCTGGAGGAGACTCATTTCCAAACCATAGCAACCCCTTCACAATAGCATAAAATAATGACAGTACATAAACCCCAAGGTGGGCCGAAGTTACGGTCCCCCTCGCAGAGGACGAAGGCTCCGCCAGTCTCACCTCTGACGTCGGCGAGGGCTGGAGCCAGTTTGGGAGTCGTCTTTGACTACCTCTGTTGGGCTGGGCTTTCCACCCACCCCTCACCCCTCGCTGGATGTACCTTCTTTTTTTTTTATAGGGGAGGAATGAGGAGTTGGGAGGGGAGTGAACGGACAGTCTGTGTTCAAGAAGTGCTAGGGAGAAAGCATCCACACTTACGTGCTAGAGCCATGTCATTCTTAAAGGACTCAGCACCCACCAGGGTTCCTTGAATGGCCTGTGCCTTGGACTGGGTCTCCCACGTCAGTGTGCGCACAGGTCACCTGCAATCTTGGTGAAGTTCAGGTTCTGCTTTTCAAGGAAGGTCGTATGGCCCCAAGAGCCTAGGTTTTTAACAAGCTCTCGGGAGGGGGGGGGCCATGGCTGCAGGCCTACGGACCGCTTCTTGAAGGCTGTGCCACCAGACGTTGGTCCTCGTCCTTGCTTAGACCCTGAGCTTGCTTGATGTCTGGGCCAGGCTTGACCCATAATTTGGCCCTTGCAGCCCAGAGTTCCCTGAGTCTCACTGAACAACGAGAGATGCTAGTAGAGGGATGCGCTGAGCTGGGAATCGGGCAGCGGGCTGGTCGGGAGCTACAGCTGCTTCGGCTTTTCCTTGATGCCTGGGACCAGCTGTTCCATCCCCTCACACCTCGGGCTGTGCATCCTCAGGTGGGGAAACGGTCCCTGCCAGTTCTGTCTCACAGGGCCCTGCGATATTCGGAGGGCCTGGGGTGGTGTTAGCTGATCCCATCTAGGCGACAAGCTCATGGGGAGAAGAATATACTCAGGGGGCCTTACGAGAACACAGACTCCAATCCTTGGCTTTAGAGAGCTCCCGGGGGGGCTCCTGGGGAGACTCCGGAAGCAGAGGCTGGGAGGCGGAGGAGGCGAGATCCTGGGCACCAGCAGCACACAGTGTCCTGGAGTCCTCCCGTCAGCCGGTGAGGTCTGCTGGTCAGGTGTCCTGATTCCCCCTGGACTGAGGGCTCATGATGGGTGATTGGTGGACCTGTATGTTCATCCTCCAGGGCTGCCACACCTGAGTGTGGATCCAAGCCTTTGTCTAAATGCCATGTTGCAAGGGTGCGCTGAAAATTCAACTGCCCAATCCCACTGCATCCCTGACCTCCAAGGTGAGGGCCTTTGGCTGGGCACAGGCTGAAGCCACTAACGTCAACTCAGCTCCTTCCGTCTTGTAAAGGTGGGATACGGCCCAGGCATGAAGCTCTGCAGCCACCATCACACAGTCACTGGGGGGCAGCTCGAGGTGGCCTCTGTGATTCTCAGCACCCTTCGGTGGTCACTCCCACACGGTGTAGGTCTGACCTGGAGTGTGATTTCCAAACGTCCCGAGAGATGTGGTGGTGTCTGCCTGGGGCGTCCTGGATCACAGCATGGGCATCTGGTAGTGAGGGGTGTGAGGTCCGGGTGGGGATCGGGGCTGCAAATCGAGAATGATCTGCCACCTTCTCTGTTCCGCAGCTCAGACAAATGGTGGCGGGAGTGCTGGGATGGAAGGGATCATGAACCCCTACACGGCTCTGCCCACCCCGCAGCAGCTGCTGGCCATCGAGCAGAGCGTCTACAGCTCCGACCCCTTCCGACAGGGCCTCACCCCACCCCAGATGCCCGGAGATCACATGCACCCTTATGGTAAGAGGACTCGAGCCCCACGGGCCTCCCACCTGCCGTGGCCCCTCCTTCCCTCCCAGACGCACCTGCGCAGCTCCCAGATGCTCACTGTGGCTCCCCTGCATGACAAGTGCCCCACAAAGCAGGGCTAGAGTCACCCGAGGGTCCGCTACTGGTGGCTGCAGGGGGAAGGCTCCTGTTGCTCACCAGTGAGGTTCGTCTCAGAGTTCCCAAGGCCTCCTCGCTGAGCATCCCTTATGTCCCCTCCAGCTCCCTCTGTGAGCCAGTGCTTGGAGGTGAGGCCTGGGGACCCCCGAGGAGGGTGAGCCCAGGGCTGCAAGGCTAAAAGCTCACCCTCAGGGTGGCTGTGGGCCACTCACAGAGTCTCGGAGGAGTACAATGCATTGATCTGTAGATGGAATCACTGTGCCTCTTACTCTGATAGCTAAACGATAGTTTTATTCAGCAAGCCTTCCAAAAAGAAGTATCAAAGACAAAATCCTCATGAAGATTCTGTCCACATTTCTCCCTCACTTAAAAAAATTCATGGCCAGGTGTGGTGACACACACCTAAAATCCCAGCAGCTCAGGAAGCTGAGGCCAGCCTCAGCAACTTAGTGAGGACCTAAGCAACTTAGTGAGGCCCAGTCTGAAAATGAAAAATACAAGACCCGGGGATGTGGCTCAGTGGTTAAGCACCCCTGGCCTCAATCCCCAGTCCCCCACCCCTCCAGATGAGTTCTCTTGTCAAAGACGCGCCGCCTGCACACACCTCACACTCAGCCAGCCTTCACCAGGCTGGACCTCGCGGGGTCTTTCTGGGCTGACCTCATCCATGCACAGATCTGTGCACACAATGCATATCCCTGATGTCCTGTGGACACACGAGCACCTGCCTGATGTCCATCCTTCAGATGGCACAGTCCAGTGGGGCCTCTTTACACTAGGCCTTGGTAAGCAGGCAGAGGAGGTTTGGGTCACCTTCTTCCTCTCAGAGTCTCAGGGGCCATGTTACCGAAGGCCCCTGGTGACCTCACAAGGTTGGACCGTTTGCCCCTGGTTACTTCAGGCACAGGTGAAGGCCACCTTGCCGCCCCTCTGGCTGCTGCATCCCTCGGCTGTCCCACGAGGAGCCCTCCTGGCTTCTGTGTTGAGGGTGCACCACCCTCCCTGTCCTGCGCCACGCAGCTTGGGAAACAGAAGGCACTCGGCCTGCGTGCTCCGTTGGAGAGCGCAGTGGTCATCCTGGACACTCCTGTCAGACTCTCGAGAGCCACTTCTGAGGCCAAGTATACAGGGTCCCTGGCCCCCAGCCTCTGCAGGCCCCTGACCCAGCCTCTGCAGACCCCTGGCCCAGCCTCTGCAGACCCCTGACCCAGCCTCTGCAGACCCCTGACCCAGCCTCTGCAGACCCCTGATCCCGCCTCTGTAGACCCCTGGCCCAGCCTCTGTAGACCCCTGGCCCAGCCTCTGCAGACCCCTGACCCAGCCTCTGCAGACCCCTGGACCAGCCTCTGTAGACCCCTGGACCAGCCTCTGCAGGCCCCTGGCCCAGCCTCTGCAGGCTCTGGCCCAGCCTCTGCAGACCCCTGGCCCAGCCTCTGCAGACCCCTGACCCAGCCTCTGTAGACCCCTGGCCCAGCCTCTGCATGCCCCTGGCCCAGCCTCTGCAGACCCCTGGCCCAGCCTCTGTAGACCCCTGACCCAGCCTCTGCAGGCCCTGGCCCAGCCTCTGCAGGCCCTGACCCAGCCTCTGCAGGCTCTGGCCCAGCCTCTGTAGACCCCTGGCCCAGCCTCTGTAGACCCCTGGCCCAGCCTCTGCAGACCCCTGGCCCAGCCTCTGCAGGCCTCTGGCCCAGCCTCTGCAGACCCCTGGCCCAGCCTCTGCAGGCTCTGGCCCAGCCTCTGCGAGGATCCTGCCTCCCACACCTGCTCTCTGTGCATGCTGTCCTTTGCTCTGTTGCACTCCATTTAGCACCGTGTGTCCTGGTTTATGGTTCCACGTGTTGCACTTTGGACAGGAGCCCCTGTTGAGATGACAGACCCCTGGATCATGTCCCTCCTGGTTCTCTCTGCAGCTGTCCCCAGCCCCTGCTTTTCCTCCCCCTGTGGAAAGAGTCACAGGGATGTGCCAAGTCTCTCCTCCCAGACCTCATGTCCGTGTCTCTTCTCCATTTCAGGTGCTGAGCCCCTGTTCCATGACCTGGATAGTGACGACACTTCCCTCAGTAACCTGGGTGACTGTTTCCTAGCAACCTCAGAATCCGGGCCCCTGCAGTCCAGAGTGGGCAACCCCATTGACCACCTGTACTCCATGCAGAATTCGTACTTCACCTCCTGAGTCTTCCCAGCGTCTGTGGCTAGGCTCCCACGTGGAACCACCATATTCTGCGAGGGGCCTCTGGCTTTAGGACGGGGAGGCCAGGGCAGAGGTGGGCTGGGGAGGGAGGTGTGTGGGGGTGCTGTCGTATAATGATTTGGCGTAGCTCAGCATTTCCAAAGACTGAGTGTGTTACGGATTGCCTAGTTCAATGTTTCTAATAAGAGTCTTAGGATTAGATAGGAAGATGTGCTTATCATTAAGGACAGGGACTTTAATATAGACACTCATGCAAATTAGATACCTAGGGGCTCCTAACAACTTCCCGCAGTTTGGGGAAGCTCTTGTGAACAGGTGCATATATCTGTCTGTCTGTACACCCACGACAGACAGACAGACAGCTGTGTGCGTGATTGCATAACCTTTCATACCTTGTCATCAAAGTTTATTCATAATTATAACAGACTCCAACTGTACAGCAAAAGTAACTTTATTTTCAGTGTGAACTATATTTAAGGAAATGCTTGATGCACTTAAGTTATAAAATGAGATAATTTACTTTTTATAAGCTTTATTTTTAGTTTGAAGAGATTTGTCAGCAGGGCAGAGCGGCTGCCTCCTGCCCCGTGGTGCCGGAGCCCGTCTGTTTCAGAGCCTGCGAGCCTGGGAAGCAGCTCCCTGTGCTGCCAGTCTCCTCCGGAGGAGTCCTGCTCCTGGGGGTCCAATCACTGGGTCTGGGGGGGACAGAACAATCTCTGATCACGTTCTTAGAAGCCATGTGGCTAGATTCTTGGGCTTTCCCTCAGATTCTGACATGCTGCTGGGCGGTTGGGGGCCCTCAGCATTCACAAGTGTGGGTGAGGCTGACCATGTGGACCTACCTCCCTGGGGACACTGAGGTGCCAGGACACATAGTAGGGCTGCAGCCAAGATCTGGTGTTTGTTTAAAATAGAAGCAGCTCACCTACTTGGTGCAGCAGGCTGCCTGGGACTGCAGGCAGGAAGGCCTCTGTGTCACAGCTGAGGGTGGCAGGCCCATACCTCTGTGAAGCCCATACTGGCAGAGGTGGCAGCTCGGGAGGAGGCTGGAGTCCTTCAGTGGGACAGGCTCAGGCCCAGGGGACAGAGCAGGTGTGGTGGTGTGCCAGAGCAGGGGCTGATCAGCTATGTCCTGAGGGCCTGCTTCCTGGTTTTTAAAGTGGCATTTAAATAAGAGAGAGGATATGTGGCAGGCTGTGTGGCCCGGAAAGCTGGACATGCTGCCTGTAGCATCTGGCTCTTTGCAGCAGTGTTTTGAGGCCCCTGTAGTCCAGGTGCTGTTTCTGCACAGCCCGTGGAGCTCTCCAAGGCTGGGAGGACCCATGGAGATGGGGGTCTGCCCAGCCCACGGGTCTGGCCCTGAGTGCATAAGACCCAGCAGCCCTGTGCACGGGGCTTCTACTCCCTGGTCTCCAGTGGGTGCTGGGAAGGGTCTTCTGTGCTAGGAGGGCTTCTGGGAACCAGAGAGGGTGGGCTGGACTCTTCTGAGGGGCTGTAACAGGTGTGGTCCCACTGCGGGGACATCACTGGAGCCTTGCACACAGCCACAGGTCCCCTCCACTCCCTGTGAGCTGGAGCGAGCATGTCCCTTAAGGTAGAGTCTGTGTCCTGTGATTTTTGTGCCCTCGTGTATGATTTATGCAAACCACCAAGTCAGCCACACCAGTGCGACCAGCGAGATCACGCAGACGTGGACAGCCCAGGGTTCTGTGTGAAGCTCAGCTGGAGGGCGTGGCCAACATCATGTGAGTGAACAGGAACACAGGTCAACTGCACTTCCTCCTGGCCACGGTGAAATTAAAGACCTCTTGTAAATGAGCTGTGTTCATTCCAGGGCGGGAGGGCAGCAGGGCCAGGGCTCCAGAGTGGTGTCCATGGGGCCCCAGGGCACGACCTGACCTGAAGCTTTTAGCAAACATAAGGGGGGGGGGGCCAAAGCAAAGCCCGAGGAAGGCTTCCCGCTCCCTGGGGCGAGGGCACGGCCTCACAGGCCCCGGAGGCAGAGGCGTGGTCATTCTGGCTTCATGTTCACTGGCACAGAATGGCGTGCACTCCTGCCATGAGCACGTTGGCTTGGCGGTGAGGGTGGGCCTGGGGCAGCCTTCTCGCCCAGGACTGGAGGCCGATGCCGGCCAGGATGGGAGGGCAGAGCTACAGTCACCTGCAGTGTAGAGAATGGGCGGGCCATGACTATGAGGGACACGAGTAGGAGCTCCGAATGCTGCAGGACCCAGGAGCATGCTCAAAGGGGACACTGCTTTCTGTTTTCTCACCACCTTTAATTATGCAAACCTGTCTCCCCCTGGGCTCACCACTGCATGCTGGGGCTTGGGGGGAGAGAGATGAGTCACAGACCAGGCCCAGGAGAGCCCCAGGGAGGCCTGTGTCTGCCCCCAGCCCCCCGTGGGCCTCAGCTCCCAGCTGCAGCTTCCAGAGGAGCTAGGAGTGGACATTTACCCACAGACACCTGTGCGTCCTGCAGGACCAGGGCCTGGCCTACCTGAGGAGCCGGTGGGGCCACATGGGGAGCGGACTGCTGCTGCCTGCTGCCTCAACCAGACCTTAGGGCTTACAATGTAGGCGCAGTAGAGATGTGGGCTTGTCCTCAGGTGAAGGTCCAGGCCAGTCTGTGAGGGTCCCTCTCCTCTGTGCACAGTGAGTGCTGTACAGGGCTCCCACCCTCTCCCTGACGACTGGCTGCCTCCTTCTTTCCTTTGAACTCTGGATGCCTCTAGACCTGAGCCACAGCCCCTTCACCTGTGTGCTGTGTGGCCTTGGGCTGCTTCATGCCCTGAGCTGGCTTCTGTGTGGGTGCAGGGATGGCCCAGCTCCTCCCTCAGAGGGCAGGGGGTGAGCCCTGCGGAGCTCCAGCCCTGCCCTGGCGGGTAGCCTTGGTGCCCTGCTGTGGGCCGGGCCTGTTCTAGGTGTGGTCACTGACCAGGTGAGTGGAATCTCAGATCACGGGCAAAGACACGGAGGCCCTGGCTCCCCTGAGCCAAGGAAGTTGCTTCCCCCTGTCAGCCCCCCATGTTCAGCCCCCACGGGACAGTGCCTGGGTTCTCTGCGGGTCCTGCCCATCCTGAGCCAGGGGTCGGGTGTTGTTTTAAGGCACACAGATCTTATGTGTTGGCCACTGAAAACCATGCAGATCAATCCCAATTACCAAGCGTGGCAAGGAATCTCCAGAGCTCCGGTGGTGGGGTCTCTGCAGCCACGGGCCCTCTCCTTCCTCCGGTGGCCTGCTTTGGGGAAGACGTGAGGCTGGTCTGACAGCAGAGAGCCTGGGGCCAAGGTGGGGCTGGGTGCCCTGCAGAGGTGTGAGCCCCTGGACAGCCAAAGGGGGAGGAGAATGGGTGTGGCCAGCTGCAAGCCCAGAGGCAGAGAGAACCTGAGTGAACTGCCCCAGAATCAGTCTCTCCCTCAACCTCTCCCCCCTCCTTCCCTCCCTTTTCCTCACCCTCTCTTTCTCTACCAATAGTTTCAAACTGAGGTGAAAGTGTTGAGATTTAACTGATAAAACTGCCAGCAAGAGTCACAACCCACTCAGAACCAAATCAACACACCGTTCCCGAATCCCGTTGTTTCCCGTGGTGTAACAGGTTCATGGCCAGAAGCCTGGAGACCAGTGCGCTGAAAGTGCCACCTCTACACAGGAGTGACGGGGGTGGGAGCCCACCTGGCCTGCAGGAGTGTCACGTGACGTCCCTCCGCGTGCACTGTCCGCCAGGCTCCAGCCTTCTCTTCATCTCCACGTGGGGCCAGTGACTAGGCCTTCCCAGTGCTGTCCCGGGGCACAGCAGAGCAGCCCTGGGGAGTAGGGTGAACTGACCACAGTGAACTGTGCTCATGCTCAGCAGCTGCAGCAAGGCAGGTCCCAGGTCAGGGCACAGTGACCAGCGCCTCTCCCTGGTGCTGAGATTCTGCTGCCGCTGCCTGGTGAGCCTCCTGCCCTCCAGGGGGGTTCTGGAAAAGGAGCCCTGGTGGACAGTGTATTTGGCCTCCTTCCTGCCATACCCTGGCTCAACAGGGCAGGTGGAGCCTGCGCCTTGGGTGGGGAGGCCCTCGCAGGTCGTTGAGCAGCTGACCATTTTATCTGGCCCTCCTAGACCCTCTTCCATCGCCCACTCCTTTCATTCAGCATTTATTAAGCACCTGGGATTGTGAGTTTGGGGGACAGGTAATAGAAACACAGAGGTGAGCAGAGGACCTTGGCCCTGCCCAGGGAGCAATTGCAACTGACCACAATCAAGCACCTGTAGAAATTTGATGTGCCTGGCACTGAGCCACAGAGTGGAGCCCTGGCCTTCAGGGAGGTGGGGGGAATCTGAAGGGTTCACCGCCAGGTCTAGGAAGCCACCTGCAGTTCCTAACGGTGCAGGCCATCCTTGGAACCAGTCAGGGCCTGCCCCCCGGGCACTGCGTGCCTGCTAACCCGAGGGGGCTCTGCTGTGTTCGGCCACAGGTGCTCTTTCAGCCTCTCTGACAAGGCCACCTGCTCTACCCTGACCTTCCTGCACCAAGTGTCTTCCCAGGACGCTCAGTCAGGGTGACCTGGGCTGCTGCAGCCCAGGGCCCAGGGCACATAACCAGAGCCTGCCACCTGTCTCCCAGACGTGGAGGGAGGAGCACAGCTGAGATACGGCTATGGCGGGTCATCCCCAGAGATGCCCTGGGAGGGGGGGTCAGGCCATTCCACTGCCAGATCCCGGGGCTGCCCCACGCCTGTCTCCAAGCTGAACCTCCAGGTAACTTTGACCTTGGGTTTCTTTTGCTTGAGTCAAGAAACTCCGACAAAAGCCACCCACCTACAGTTTTCGTGGTGTTAAGCATTGAACAAAGGGCATGTGCATGTGTGTGCATGTGAGTGCGTGTGCGTGCATGTGTGTGTGCGTGCGCATGCGTGCGTGTGTGTGCGTGTGGTGGTCTCAGAACAGCCCCTGGATTTGGTCAGACAGGTTTTCTTCTTCTCAAGATGAGAAGCTT